TGTCTAAAGCAGCGGTTCTCAACCTGTGGGTCGCGACCCTTTGGGGGTCGAATGACCCTTTCACAGGGGTCGCCTAAGACCATCGGAAAACACATATATAATTACATATTGTTTTTGTGATGAATCACTATGCTTTAATTATGTTCAATTTGTAACAATGAAATTGGGGGTCACCACAACATGAGGAACTGTATTAAAGGGAACTGTATTAGGAAGGTTGAGAACCACTGCCATAGAGGGTCCAGGGCAGCCCCCACCCCCACCCCCTCCCACTGCACAGCCTGGAAAGAGTTTGTTGATCCAGTGAGTCTACGTGCCCCGCCTCTGCAGGTCTTGAGGTGGCCGCTGCGGAAAGGGGGGTGTGGGCAAAGGGAGACAGTCACAAAACGGGCAGAGAAGGGACCAAGGCCAGAACAGGACATACTCTCAGAGCCCTGCCCTCAACAGAGCCATGCCCACCCTACAGACCCTCTGCCCAGGGGTCCACTCTTAACCCCCTTGGGTGCCTGGCAATACAGGGGCTCTAAGAATCCTGGTGATTGCAGGCCAGTGGACCCAGCTGCATGCAGCACAGAGGGGCTGGGCCGGGCCTGGCCCAGTGGTGGGGAGTCGGGCAGCTGGACGGGGGCTCTGTGAGGAGGTGCCCCACTCCACCTCCGGTCCCTGACTGCATGCCCTCCCCCCCTCCCCCACACCCACGGACCTTCACTGAACAGGAGCTGAGATCCAGGTGACAGAGGCCAGAGGGACCACCAGTCCTTGCAATTAGCAGTAATGAGTTGACAGGAGCCCAGCACAGGACACAGGTCAAGTGCGAGTGGAGGCTGATAATGAACTTGACAAGGCTAGGCAGTAGAACAGCCCCTCCTCGCTGGCCATCAATCCTCCGGATCCGCCCAGGAGCTGATAGGGCCAAATCTCAGCCATAAGGGATGAGGCTGCTGCACAGAGAAAGGCTGGGCCAGCAAGAGACACACAGAGCCGAACTGGGGCCTCAAGACCACTCCACCCCCCACCCCCCACCCCCACACCAGCCTCCAGCCCCAGGGGGGTCTCCCTGCCTGCTCACTAGCTCCCTCTCAGAGGGCCATCCCTCCGGAGTTTTTCAGCGTCCCCAGCTCACTCCGCCACGCTCTCCTGCAGCCCCCAACTTCAGTTTCTTAGTCCTCGGCCCCAACTCCACAACTTGTTTCTGTGCTTTGCACATCTGTGTGGTTGGGTCTGTGTGGTAGTCTCCAACCTGGAGACTATCAAGAAAAGTTTATGTGGAAGGGAGAGAGGGATGGAAGGGAGGGAGGGAAACAGATCCCACAGATCCTCTGGATCAGAGCGTGGGGCCCCAAAATGTGGATGGAGTATAAGGTGGTGCTGACAGAAAAAGAACCAAAGCCACGGAAAGGAACTGGGTGTACACAGAGGCCAACACTGACCGAATTCCCCCGGGAAAGAACTTTCCAAGAGCAAAGGCGAGGATGAGCACACTTGGTGTGAGCCTCAACCCTCAGGTGGCCGACCTGCAGCCAGTCAATCAGCAATTAGTTCCAAAGACACCAGGCAGTTCGAAGTCAAGCAAGGAACAGGGGCAATTAATCTCATCAACAGAGCACGAGCCTCTACGAAGCCAAACACCCAGAGCGTGAGCAAACTGCAGAGAAGGCAACACCTCGCCGGCATGAGAAATTAACCCGGGGCATGGGCTTTCCCCAGACGCCAGCCCCACCCCGCTGCCCCTCCAGCCAGGCACCACAGAAGTCCCTCATCTACTGAGGGGGCGGGGGGGGAGGTCAGTGGGCCAGGTTCTCGGTGTCCTGAGTCAAGAGCTGCTGAACCTTCTCTGGGGTCTGTGCTGATGGCGTCTGACTCAGACGGGCAGACCCAGCTGAGTGGGCTCAGGTGTGGCCACAGCGTTTACTTGTAGCTGCAGAAAAGGTGCGGACAGCTGCAAGATCCAACCACACAAGGTGAAAATGCAGAACGGACAAGCGCAGAGAGGCGCATGTGAACTGGGAAGAAAGAGTGTGTGCGCACAGCAAGAATGGAAGGAAACCAACTCTCCTTAGTCACGGGGCGTCTCCAGTGTTTAGAATAAATATATGAAATAGACAGACAGGAGGAAGCCCAGGACAAGAGCACTGGGGTGCCCTGGAAAAGCCACAGCCATCACGTCAGCATCTTCTGTGGGATGCTGTGAGTCGCTGAGGCCTTCCCAGGCTTGAGTCATCTCTGGGGACTGAAAGGACAGCCCTGATCCTAGATGAGGGGTGGCCCTGGGGATGGAGGAGAGGGGACGGGGAGACATGATAGACAAGTGGGCAGGTGGATGGAGGGAGAATGAATGGGTGAACAGACAGAAAAGTCTGATAGGTGGGTGGATGGACAGATGGGTGGATGAATGCAGGGATGAATGGATAGATGGATGGACAGGTGTGTGGGTGGATAAGTGAGTGTGTGGATGATGGATGAATGAGTGGATAGAGGGATGGATAGGTGGTTGTGTGGAAAGATGGCTGGGTGGCTGAATCAGTGGGTGGACAGGTGCATGAATAGAGGGGTAGGTGGGGACTTCTGAAGGGGCCCTTGGTGTGTAAGCCATAGCTATGGACCTCCCCCCTGGTCTGACCCTTCGCCCTTTCCTGCCAGGAGCTCTGCGGGACCTGGGAGCACACATTCCCTTTGCTGAGGCCTCTGCCTTGGCACCCCCAGAACAGCCCTTTGCCCTGGGGCTATGGGCCAACCCTCTGCCCAGAGCCCTGGGTCCCAGGTGGCCGCCCCTCATCTCTGCCCACCTTCTGGGCTGTTCAGTGTTTAGGACAGGCCCCGCCCGGCATGGCCACCGTAAACCTTTCCCCTCCTGCAGCCAGTCAATCGCCCATCGGTTCCAAAGTCCTTGGATCAGAACGTGGGGCCCAAAACCGTGGTCTGGAAGACACGGTGGTGCCGACAGAAAGGAACTCAAGCCGCCGAAGGGAACTGGATGTAGCAGAGGCATCTGCGTGTCTCCGGGGCCCAGCCCACGCGGCCTCAGCTGCAGCCGGCTCTGGATGCCGTCGGCTACATATATTGAACTCGAAGCATCGGATTACATGTTTGTTCAATAGCAATAAACTCCCAAAGTTTTATGGGGTCATAAAACCGCTGCCTGGGCTCCCACTTAGGCAGCGCGGAACGTACACAGGCCGGTTTCCCTGCTAATGGGGCGGCGCGAGTGATTTGGGGCTCTTAGCTGGAAACATCACATCTGCATTTCCCAAATTCTCAGAAAGCAGCCCCGCTGGATCACACCAGCCCTAGCCTTGGCGTTCGAGGAAAACAGAGTGAGCTGGAGATATAGAAATGGTT